AAAGTGGCACCCCTTAACACGGAAACACTACCGATTGATTTTGCTTTACACTACTAGATGGCGCTGCATCTATCATTCTCATTCGCTATATCATCAAAACCGCCGCGATTTGCCGCTAGATGTATCTAGAAGTTTACGAGCTTGGCCTGCAGTATCTTCGCTCTCGTTTTTACTTATTGTTATTGCGTGAAAGGGAATGATCATCAATAAATAACAATTTGAAAAAATAACAAAACGCCGTTTTAAAACTACTTTTAGTAATTGCGTTTTCATTGCATTTTCTTAATAAAACACAGGAAAATGGGTACCTAAACTAGCAACGTAGAGAACTAAGAGCTTTTCGTCGCTAGATGTCGCTGAAGTTTCTCACTCGTATCTTCTGTCTCTTTTCATTCTACCAGTGGTGAAGGAAAGAGAATGAAAGTGCCCTTTGAACGTACCAAAGGTTATTGAACTCTCGGGGTCGTCTACCGCCGATCAGCTGATTTTTTCGAGTTTTAATTACATTGCGTTTTTATGGAAAATCAATAAATAGACAAATTTATTGATAAAAATAGTAATACTTAACTTATTTTACATCGCTAAAAATGAAAAAAAAAAAAAAAATAACATTTTTTTTTTGAAAAATAAAGTAATAATTTTTTCATTGCAATGTATCCAGAATCACTTACTCTATCACTGGTTTTCGTTTTCGGAAGCGTTCCCCTAACACCCAGTATACTGTTCTCCAAGTTAAAAACTAATTTTAAAAAAATCATCGAGATCTGATATCTAATTATCAAATGTCATGCATTTAGTGGACAGACATACTACATGCATGTTTAAAAAAAATAGAACATTTTTTATCGTACTAATGTATCTTCCATCTGTAGGTCGACAGGATGTAAAGTGCGAGCCCTGTCAACAAATATAAATGAGTCGTAAAATGTTTATGACAAAGAAAAATACCAAAAAAAGAAAACCTTCAAATGTATCGATATGAAATAAAAAAGTTTCAATAGTTTTAGCGAATCCTTACCTAATTTTATCACCCATCTCTACTCTATACAGGAATATTTTTTTTCCAGTGCAAAAATTTTTTTTGGTGGTTCAGTATCAGTAATAGAACACTTTTCCATAATTAGTTAAATTTTTTTTTTTTTATATATTTTTATCCCTATCGAAACGGTAGAATATGGACACATTTTTTAAAATAAAACTTCAATGAAAACGTCTTCTCTTGCGTATGCCACCGTGCAACCCCGCCGCGCCCGGTAGCCCCCCGCCACAGCCCCCACCGCCCCGCCGGGACCGAGCGACGCGCGCGACAGTGAGACTCATACGCACGCGCCGATGTGACGTGTCCTTGCGTTCCCGCGCACGCGACGCGCCCGCCGTCGTGAGTTTTACGAGATGTACGAGTTTATCTTCTGAGTGGTGAGAACCTACATAAGCGCAATTCGGAGAAAGTATGCGACGAAGAGCATACCTCGTATGCGGGCCTTTGGGATCCGTAACCCCGCGGTCCCTAATGCTTCGAACCATTTCAACAGACGAAGTCCCAGAGTCAGTACCCACGATGCGGCATATCTCTTTGGTGTGAGCCAGCCTGCGGTATTGAAGCTGCTAAAAACAGCCGGACTCCATCCGTACCACTTTCAGCCGGTTCAGCAGTTCCATGACCTAGACCCAGTACCACGTCGAGCCTTATGTGAGTGGCTTCTACATCACCGCGATGCAAACATCTTGTAGACGGATGAGGCATTGTTAACAAGTGAGGGACTGTTTCTTATGGGAAGAAGTCAAACGCCGAGATGTAGAGGAGGCACAAAGTCTAAAAGACTTAACAATAAAAAATAATAACGCTTTCAGTGAAGTGAAAAGTGACACTAGTGTTTTAAACAAATTAAATGACAATTTAATGAAATGTGCACGTTAATGTCTGGACAGACGTGGACTTCATTTTGAACAAATATTAAAATACATGGTAAGTAATTAGTCAGGTATTTGTTTTGATTCAACATTATTGTAAATACGTAGTTGATTCTAATTTTTTTAAATACGCCTTAACGCAGAAGTACCTATGTAACTTCGGCATAACGTTAATATTTTTTTCTAGGTAACGAATTTGTTTCTCTTTTATTTTGTTGCATTTTGATGGCCTTAACCATAACAGTATGAAGGGAAAATTGGAATTACTCTTAGAAATCACCTCAGATCATGGCATAAAATCTAGTTCGAATCTAACAAAATGAGCGTTCAGTGACCCGTGTAGATAGGTACCTACGAGTACATGCCTACGGCGCCGAGCGAGCGCTCAGCTGACGCACGGCGCGCGGTGTCCATAAATTAAGTTTTAAAATCTCGATCTTTGATAAGCGATAACTTTATTTTTTAGTATTAGAACATATCAAAATAAAAAATACGTGTTTATTTAAATTACTTAAAGTTTATTTTCACAAAATCTTCGCAGTGGTTTTAAATTATTCCTGTATAGCTACTATACTATTGTGATTGTGAATCTATTTTAAGAAGTATTAGTACATTGTGGCACTACGCACCACTTGTGGCTCATTTTTTAAAGAAAACCAGAGCAGAGGAAAATAAAAAACGTAGAAAATATGCACTACGACTTCAATTTTTCTTCTAAATTATTATTTCAATTTACTCTAAAGACAGTTGTTACTTATCGATTTGACATATTTACTGGCCTGTGACGTCACGATCAGCGCCATTACATAGAGCAGCGTTTTTCGCGCGCTTTTGGCTATTTAAATTTTAACAATTATTTTCACCAAAAATAGAAAATATTCCAATGAAATATTATGACAGTGTGTTTATAATGTAGCAAAAAACGATTTAAAATAATTTTCAGAAAAGTGTCCAATACCCTATTACTTATTTCCTGCATTTTCTTATCATGATAACGTCGAGATGAGCTTTTGTTCCTCCTTTTAATGTTCTTAGAAAGTGGATTCATAGTTATTTGTGAAATTTGAGATAGTGACACTTTTCTGTTGTTATGGTTGTTGAAAATATGGCTGATAAAGAAAACAGAAGAAAATGTTTTAAGTGTGAACGTTCGCCAACCCAGCATAATGTAAAGCTCTTTCGTTTTCCGAAGCCGGCTAAAAGGAATCTTATACGGTACTTGCTTTAATCTTCTATTTATAGATTTCCAAACTAATGAATAGTACGTGAAGTTCCGCTACATTTTAACAAGAGAATATTCCCATTATGTAATGCTAGTGTTAATTATTTTATTAGCAGTAGAGTTAGAATTGACATAAATACTTGTATTTAGTTGTAAAAAATATGACTTGAGTCAAAGAGCTTCAGTATTAGGTATGTCATGATACCCGATGGTAAAACGGGTATAGAGAAAGACCAGGGAGCTTTTAGATCACATGAGTTTATTTACCACCAAAATTATATATATGTACTTTATAAAAAATATAAACAGCACCGACAACAGCTTTACGAAGAGAGACATTAATATATATAAACAATAGACGCGCATGTGCAGAACAGATTGTCAATATTTAAATTAAAATTAAAAAGATCTTAAACCAAGAAGGAGGTCTCCCTCAATACATCCCCTCAATCTGTTGCACATGCTGACTGTCCTAACTTAGACTTCTACCTGTCATTACAAATATTAATTTAGAATGACTACCAAGAACTACCGTAGATATACATATATTTTTTATTCCTTATCTCTCAGATCCATTTTACCTAACCTCTATTAACTCCTGTATATCCCTTTACATTTCACATATATAAATCCCTAACTGTCTCTAAAACTAACATCTTAAAACAAAATTTCTTATCTTATTCTCGACTTTGTTTACCATAAAACTTAAGCTATATAAAAATCATTCAGTTAACTCATCTCCTACTCGACTTACTATATCATAAAAAACTTCAAATAATTAACTTCTACTCGATCCCACTTACCATAAGCACTTCAAAAAATTAACTCCTACTCGATCCCACTTATCATAAAAAACCTCAAACAATTAACTCCTACTCAAACCCACTTAATTATAAAAACCTTCTTTCAATACAAAAAAAAAATTAAACACACTACCTATCCTACTACCTCATTGCGACAATACAGAAAAACTCTACTAACATAATTTAAACTCATATTCTATATCAACTCTATCAAATGCATTAGTTTTAAAAAAATATTAATAATAACAAACATGATAAACAATACAAACAAACATGATTACAAAACTTAAGGCCAATATGTCATGCTAATCTGTATGAAAGAATTTTATGTTATTTCTGATAAAAGTGATGATGTAGGTGAAGGTGATTAAGGATGTTTATCGATTACGAACTATAAATTAAATTAGTTTGTTATAAAATTCTTAGGAAAATGTAGCTCTATCTCTTGTACTATAAGGATATAACATTCTTAATTTTGTTGTATTTGTTTTCAGATGTGAATCGTGGGCTAAATATATTTTCCACAAAGGACGGAATTCATCAACAGAATTCCAAATGAAATTGTACACTGAACATAGATTGCTGTGTCAAAATAATTTTCTTGATAATTTGGTGCACACATTAAAATAATTCTGAAGGCTTGTAAATCAATGTTGAATTAAAGTTAAAAACCAAACAGTATGTTGAAAATTCACTTAATTTGTGTAATAAAGCGGTATGTAAAAAATAATAATAATAAAATAGAGTGTGATATTATTATCTGCTTGTATTATATTCCCTTTTTGAAGTAGTCCCTATATTTCACCTAGATTAACTACCAAATTACTAAAACCTGTGTTCGCTGTGGATTTTTCGTTTGTGGAATTTGTTTATGTTATGGATTTCGTATACGAAAAATATTCACAGAAAACATTGGTTTTAGTAATTTGGTAGTTAATATGAAACCCAAGTATAAAAGTAAGTATTTAAACTTCCCGCCATACTACTTGTTTCAGAGGGCTGACTATAGGTGGAGCTAGTTTCTATGGATAATATTTTTCTATGAAGTTGGCATTCTTCTCGTAGAGTATTATTGTTCTGTGGTCATAGTGGTTTGTGATGCATCGCGAAATACGAAAATATGCTGAATTGTGCTGTAATTACGTGTCGTTTGCGTAGTGCAAATGTAAGCCTGAAAAAAGGAGGAATTTCATTTCATCGGTAAGTAAAAAATATTGGTAATATAACAGTATATCGAGATATTATCACATTTTTTTACGGCTGACAGTGCCTGTTATTCAAATAGTGCTTGCAGATATCGATAAAATGTTATCGATAGTACTTAACCCTAATATTATTAACGGCAATCAATTTACATGCAATTAAAATATTAAAGCAAACTTTTATTATAATAAATAGTTAACAATAATTTTTTACCCCCGACAATAAAGAAAAGTGGATTGACGCAAGTGGTAGAAATAGTCAATGGTTTTCGTCTAAAACTAGTTGCCTTTGTTTAACACATTTTTCTGAAAATGATTTTATTAATATTAAATAATAAATAAAATAACTTACATATTTGGAATTAAATATTATGTATTACATTTTTTTTCTGTTTATATGCATTTTTAAATTAAATTTTGTATTGGGATATAATTGCAATATAGTTTCAACGAAACTTCTTTGTTATTATTTTCCATTCTTAATAAATAATTTTTGTAAAAATAATAAAGATTAAATATAGGAACAAAATTAACTAGGTATCAATAAATAAAACTATGACTATATAATAGAAAAAAGGCTAATTAAAATCATAAAAATCTAGCCCCTATATAAATCTAAGTCGATATCGAATTGTGAATTAAAGGGAACTTCACTATTTCAATGTTGACAAGAAGCGTACAATTCTTTGCATTATATTTTGGAAAATTGTTTTAATGCAGATACGTCGTGCAATAATATTTTTATGTAATGAAACATGTATTTCAAATATTTGCACATTAACTAATCTAATATTATATAATATTTATTATAGCTTGGCATACATTTTGTGTATTTCCGTAAAATCACCTGTATTAATAGGCTAGTAAACACTAATTTTGCTGAAAGATATGTAGTCTCATTGCGACTGTACGAGGTGGCAAACCGCGTGGCTCTGAACTCGTTTAATAGATTCGAGCGGGTCACCCACTTGCTTGCGAGCCGCGCTTACCATCCGCGCGGACGGTTCGCGTCACTGTAAAACCAGCCTTTGTACGTTATTATTCTAACCTTTTTAGCTGTTCTGTGGTTAGAATCTTGGCTATACGAGATCTGATAACTTTTCACTGTGCGAGTCATACAGTCTTGACTTGGCCACACTTTACATGAAAATGTTTTTGGTTGAATTAAATTTTACAGTTTTCGCATTGAAGTTTGTCTGTTAAGTGTAAAAATAACTTAAAGATGGTGCTACGCTTAATATCTAGGTAAATTTTATTTAAATAATTATTTCCTGACTTTCATATTGCCCATTAAATCCAAAGAAGTTCAAGAATAATTACAGTAATAATAATAATTTTTTTATCTTTAGTAATATTTTTTTTTCTTTCAAGGTTTTCCAAGTTAGCACTGGAAAAGGAAAGAGAATTAATCTTGGAAATGCCATGGGGCAAAATGTCTGGTAAGTTTAGTCTGAATCAGAAGAAAAATCAGTTTAGATATTTCTTGAAAACAAGTAAAAAACATGAATACTTACAATTTTTTTTAAACAGGCTTATAAGGAAAATTATTATAAGGAAATTGCAGGCACTTAGTTATGAATGTGAATTACAATTTTTCTTCACAATGGTTTTTGTTTATCTTATCAGTCTTTATTCTATTTCTTTCTATATCTTGTAGTTTTTTGTCATTGGTTTATTGTGTTTTCAGTCTTTGTTTCCTTATCAGACTTATTTTTAAGTTTCTCTGCTCCTTCTTTTCCAGTTCCTGCTTTTCTGAAGTAGGATTATGTTAGGATTATGGAATATTTAGCCTTTACTGACCGTTTCTTGTTCTTCAAAAGAGATTATAAAGAAAGCATGCTTATAATATCAGATAATGAAACTGAAATTGTTGGGGTTGGTAGGACCGGACTGCATCGTTCGGAGCCCGAGTTGATAGGGAGATGGACTAGATCTTTTGGAGATGGAGTTGATTGCGGTAAAATGGACGGAGAGTCGCTTCGGTCAGGAGATTCACAAGAATTGCCAGATTGATTTTCTAAATGTATACGCATTATTTGTGCTGGCGATGGTACCACAGATCCGTTTGGGTCTTGAGAAACAACAGGAAGCGAACAAGAAGTTGTATTCTTATCCGAAGTATCACCATAACTCTCAAATGTTGATTTGAATTTTCTTTGCCCAGGGGGTAAATTCCGGCAGCCTTTAACCCGTTTACAGCTTTTTCTATGCTTCTTGTCCTATTAAAAGCCTTTGTGTAGAGACCAACAACGTCATACGTTGTTATTTTGTCTCCAGGGTTATTGAGTAAGAATGTTTCTCACTCTTTATTATAAGCAGTTATGGGAGGCCATAAAAAGTCAAATCAAGGTGTTGCAAGCGGTGAGAAGCATGTGGAAGCAATATCAGTACGTGTATAATGACTCTTTTTACAACATTCGTACGCTGTTAAGCTAATGTGGATCTCGTGATTGTCCAAAATTAGTTAAATGTTATTATCAGCAGAAGGTCGGGCAAACTTAAAATGATGAAGCCAATCTGCAAACATCTACTCCGATATCGACCCAGAGACGGACACAGCTGCTACTATGTTGCTGTTACTTTGCTTCAACAATATTGGATTCATCCGTTTTCTCTTAAATATAAGTAATGATGGAACGTAATCACCAGCAGCGTTACATGCACTGGCAACAGTTGTTAGGGGCGTCCATAAATTACGTAATTTTTTTATAAATTTTCTGTGAGGTCATACGTAATATTAAAAAACTTATCCCTACTGGAAGCGATAAATGGAAATAAAAATCCAAGTATCCCAACCAGCGCAAATTGGTAGAGATATGTGAAGTAACCGATTCCATATATCCCTACCTTACCTACCTACCTCGACACCGGAGCGAGAGATAATAGCCTAAACATGTAGGGCTGTCGCTTATAGGTTATTTAATCGTCAGAAATGCATGGTCAATCAAACTGTAAAATATAGTTTCCCCCGGTATATTAAGCACCCGGGAGCTATAATACAACTTCTTAATATTTTTTTAATATATAGACCAGGAGCTGACTACTTTTTTTCATACCATCAATTTAGTGTTTTGTAAAATTAAAACGTGGTTTTGATTTGACGTGGTTATTTATTCATTTTTCAAATAATCAGGCTACGATCAAAATAATATAATGCCGATCTTAATTTTTAATAATCATATGCTTTATACAAACAGTTTCTATCAATGGTCCATATTTTTTTATATTACATTGTCTAATACGCAAATATACAATTCAATATTAATTTCAATTTGACCGTATACGGGCATAGAGATTTAACAAATTAAACTACAAATTGATATCTGGCAAACGAAATCTTCAGCAGAAATCATACATAAACACTTTCGATGGGTAAATAGTTACACAATATTATAATATTTTACCCGAATATCTAACGAACGAAATACCATATACTTAACTTATAAAAATGTGAAATACCAATATACTCGATTTATAAATGCATATACAATATTTTGGTTTAGTTTTCAAAGCCATCTTGTTTATGTCCAGAAATTTTATAACGAGCGGCAATACAGCGACGCTTGGATTGGAATATATGCAAGCATGGCGTAGCTAGCCACGACTGGCGAATTGCCACTCGTGCCTTGAACTTCTATAACGTCGATAATTTTGTGTGTGCGTGCGATTATACGCACGGGCGTGCTCACATACAAACCATTTTCGGTGCGTATGTATGAAGAGCACTTACACACCAGTTTCATTAAAATTATACACATAGCGTTTCAACTAAAACAGTATTTTTGTTCAAATGCTATATAAATACAAATACAAATGCTATTCAATTGAGTCAGATTATCAAAGAAAATATAGTTTTCGTCTTTATTGAATGCAGGCTCTTTCATTTGATACCCGTATTGGGTGAGAATTTGTTACGGCAGCCATTTTGGATTAATTAAAAGTTAATACCGATTATATATAATTGCATTGTCAGCAGAGCTAAAGTATATTTTAAGGTAAATGACAGTACAAACGGAGACTGGGAAGAGGGAAAACGCTTGCAACATTTCATTATAGAAAGACAAACATCGGACAGGTGAAACTAAGTAAGAGCTAGTAAAATATGATAGAACTGTCGACCGAAGATACCTTGCCATTGATGTCGATCCTCGCCATTCCATTATTTAGATATGAATACCGCAATAGGTATTTCCTTTCTTAAAGATGAAATGCCTTGCCTTGTCTTTTGTGCCTTTCAAAAAGAATTAGTTGTCACGAAAAAAGGCCTAGAGATTAATTAGACTAAAACAGATTGCATTTTTTCGATACTTATTGGTTAAAAAGTTAAATTAGTTTGCATATATATGACAAGGTTTGTTTATAAAAAATATATATAAAAAATCCTCACTCGCAACTGCAGAAATAAAATATGGCGGTACAAAGGTCGACGGGTCAGTTAGTAATTAAAAATATATTATGTTTTTTGTATGAATGGCTGTTGTTGTCTCAAGTTAATAAACACAAAATCTAAAAAAAATAATTGACCATGGGCGAGTAGGACTCGCAGTTGAAGGCTTTTGTACACGTTTTGTAACACGTTTTTAAATGGACATTTTATAGTTGCTTGGTGGCGTAGTAGATATGCGCCGCGGCCTGCGATCGTGGTTTCGCAAGGGTCGGTCACGGGATGGGTGACCAAAAAATGATTATCTATCACTGTTCATGAGATGCCAAATGGTAACAGACGGAATTGACAAATTTTATTATTGTCTCTTTACGTGTAAAGAACACAAACGTGACATTGGCGGAATTGTGTAAACGCAAATAGGCCATGAATTAAAAAAGAAGACCTTAAAAAAGTTTGTGACGGGTTCCGTGCTTAGGTAAATGAAACTGCTGACTAGGCTTGATGAGTTGTTATATTTATAGTATAAATAAAAAAAACTGTAGCAAAAAAAAAAAGAATATAAAAACAGTTCGTATAGATATCTAAAATGAAGCAGTATATTATATAGTAGTATAATACATAGGTATAGGTACCCCTTTTCGTGGTTTCATTTTATATGTAGCACATTTCACGTATATCATAATATACGATTACTTTTATATGTTTAAATTTAGATAACAATAAAGTTCTCGCCGGATGAATTTTTCACAAACTGAAATTCAGAAAGAGCATATTGCATCAAATTACGAAAAATTAATAATAAAAAGAAATTATGTAAAAGATCAAAGACAAAAAGTTTGGATGCGTAAACCTAGTACCAAATTATCGGTGTGGTACGACGCTCAGATACAGGTTTTATTTTATATTCAAGTTTCAAATTCTTTTATGTTGGAGGCTATCTTGTACCTCCGCTTACTTTCCTATATAAATACGCATCGAGCAGCCCAACATGTTCGGTTAAAGCCGGACAGACGGCAACCCTAACACGTCTATATTATTTTGTTACAGCTTTATGCTGGGGAGACCCTGTGGACCCGCCTATTCTACTATGTCACGGCCGTTTAGATTCTTGCTCATCCTTTCGTCCCCTGGTGCAGTGCCTCCCGCCTAAATACTTCTACGTGAGCGTAGAATTACCTGGCAACGGTCGGTCAGATCATTATCCAAAAAGGGGTAACCTCAACGTAATCGACTTCGTGCCACCGATTAATAAGATAAGCGACTATTTTAAATGGAAGAAATTCACTTATATTGGTCATTCGGCTGGTGCAGCAATTGGTGGGCAAATACTTAAATAGTGTTTATTTCTTAAATTTCTTAAATAGTCTGTTTATTGTCTTGTTTCTTTTATACTATGTACCTCCTGAAACCTCTTTTAACATAAGTAATATTGTATAGATCTTAAAAAAAATACTACATATGTACGAAGACCTTATTTTGAGTACGAGTTATGGGCTTATCAGGCACTGGCTACATCCGTTTTCACTAACCTTAGGTAGGAAACGCCTAATTTTACGAATTGCCTAAAGAGATTACTTTAATTGCAAATAAACATTTTTTTTTATTTAATCCCTTGATACATTTTACGCAAACTACTAGCGCCTTATAACTTTAGACATTGCTTTTTCTTTAGGTCGATCCTAGTCATTGGTGAAATGTATTTCACCTTAGTCGATTCCTAATCGTTTAGGAGACTCCTAAGTTTACTGAAAACGGGCCTGAGAATACATTTAAAATAAGTACTTCTTTAGACAACACGATAACATTAACTTTTACTTGTAGGCAAGTATCTGAACCAATTTAAACCGGGACTAATCAGCCGAATGGTAGATGTGGAACCGGAGCCAGTATACGGATTTATCGTGAAAGATATGCCAGCGTGGTACAATTTCTATTGCTCCGCACCGTATTGTGGTAGTGAAGGTCATAAGAAGTTTCACTCTGGAACAGATAATTCGCCTAAGTATACATATGAAGAAGTGAGTAAAGTTATCTTTATAATTACAAATTATTCATTTGCAGAATATATTAACACGAAGACGTTGAAACAATATCATTTATAATTTACTACTCAAAAATACGTGAAAGTATTTAAATATTTGGTTCACGATTCATAGTTAAATAGATACAGGTATCCATGTTACTTACACACGTAAAACAAAAAAAAAAATAAAACCTTGATTATATTATAAACGGTCCAATAAATTCCTAAAAAGCAACAAAGAATATCGTTTAGTTTCTCCGATTTGACAAAGGCGTTGGACAGAGTCTGGCAGAATATATTGTATGCAAATTGTAGTTAGCTGTTACAACAGTGTCTTACACACTAAGTATATGTAAAACCATTGACGTTAAAGGAAAGGTTTTTCACTTATTCGCCTTATAGGAGTTGGAGTCCCACAAGGCTCTATATTAGTATCTATATTGTTTTTTACTTCATGCAAACGAGATTATATTGTATCAGATTCGCAACAAAATAATGAAAACCCGAGGCTTAAGCGAAGACAAGGTGGAACATGTCTTGGAACGATGTTTGGTGGCTAGTGGCGATGGACTGTATAGGTATAAAAACTTTTATCACGTTTTTTAAATTAAATTTATTAACTTGGTTAGGAATGTAAGTATAACATTAATATTTAACTGTATTACAAATCCATTATACATGTGATGGCATGCGTTTGATGACGAAGTGAAAATTTTCACACGGAGATTAGTAAAGTATAAGCAAAGATAACTGTTAAGTTAAATTGAACTTATTCTTCCTTATATTTCAGGTTAACATTCGACCAGCGCTTTAAGTGTCTGGTCTACTCCCCGTTCCCTTACGACAGTCTTTATAAATTTTTCACGGAACCGAAGACTCCAACTATGGGCATGTTCGCCACAGAAAGTATCGCAAGAAATTCATATAAGGCGTTTCCTTTTTCTATGGATGATACAGCTTGGAAGCATGGGAATTACAGTCATGTAATCTTGGAAGGAGGTCATGATATCCATCTGCAGAATCCTGAGGAGGTCGCATTACATATTACTAAGTTTTTGAGCGATAATCCTGAATAGAAAAGACCTATGGAGAAATAATAACAACATAAAATTGATTTAGTTTGTAAAACTTATTGGAAATTTATTTTGGATGTCATTTATCACTAAATATATAAACATTTTAATTGGTAGGGAGGATATTAATGCCTTTTTTTTTATTTAAGAAAAGTATTTGATGTGATCTGTATATAAATGTTATTTAGATAAATAAGATCGCTCATAGACATCCATATTTTTTTAAAATTTATATACACTTTTATGTTACTTTAATATTTTGCTAATAAATGTACACTCATTCAAAAATATGGTATACCATCCTATGGTTGAGATTTATTTGAATGTTATGAAACAGTAAGGTTGATTTCCCCTTGTAATATTATGACAGTGTCCATTACTTCAAAAATCGGACATCTCTGATAACAGGCAATATACAATCTATAAATACAAAACAACAACTACACAACGAATTTTAATGCTATTTTAATTATTATACAGGGCGATTCAATAGGAAGGTTAACATGTATAATAAAGCTAGTCATATACGTATAATTGAGCGTATAAACTCTATAAAAAAATCAAACTTGGCTAAATTAGATCTTACAGAAACTTTTTTCAAAACTGGTAAACTTTTTGGCCGACCGTACATGTTGGTGAAAATGACTTTCTCTTTTTATTTAAGACACATACAGTTTTTATTAAACAAAGGCCAATCTAGTCGGGTTATTGGTATGTACATATGTAGTTTTCTCGTTGTCATTATAGTAAGCATAAAACTGTGAAATACATGTATCATGTACAGTCAACAGCACAAATGTTCCAAGCGATGTTTATGTTGTATATATTTTTATATAGTCTTTTTTAGATTAAAAAAAAAAACTGCCTTTATCCCAAATCTTAAAGTGATATAAAATAAAATAAATGTGTAATTAAAATAATTACAAGCACGAAGAATGATAATTTATCAAAAAAAAAAATTGCAAGTTACCTTACTTTTAATAAGTGTTTATTAAAAAAGGGTTCTTTGATTATGTAAAAAATAAAAATAATTACAATAGTATCTAGACAGTACTTTTATAACTTTTTTGAATAACACATGCAACATGCAAATCCAACATTCGCTCAGGTTGACTGGTAGAGAATGCCCTTGGCATTAAGGCCGCCATTTGTATTATTTTTTTTTTATTTAATGCAATAAAGAGTAAATAAATAAAATCAACTTTAAATACGTAACATGTATATATTTTGAATTGTTGCTAAATTATTTTAGCAATAATAAATAGGAAACAATAATCTTATGTACTAATTTGATGTCTCAGATGGGCTTAACATTAAACACTAAATAAGCAATTAAAAGTGAGTCACGAAATTACTACGCTAGCGACCATCTGGGTCATAATTACCCATTTTCACTTGAAGCTCCTGTAAATACAAGCTAAGTCGGACTAAGGGTACCAATAGAGCGAATAGATGGGTGCTATATCTCCAGCTACACCATCTTTCAAATCATATGACTTACGCATAAATAAGATATATCACTTTAAAATTGCCTCGGGTCAATATGACCCAGCGTCATTGGCGCCGGGTTATATTATTCAAAGTAACAAAGAACATTCGTTAATAAATATATAAGTTAAACAATATATAAGAGCGCTTATACAGTACACGGTAGACTCGAATAGTCAACAGCAGGTTATACAAAACTCGCATCGTCCCAAGTTGGGGATATGCTCACGAGACTTTGTCGTGGGTGTGTCCGCATGGGGATGCGCGAGTCGCGGCTGGTGGCGTCACAGTCGCGAATGCCAGAGAGTCGAGGTCCCTATACCTCTGGTTGACTTGGGGGCCTAAGATGACTGGGGTTACTCATGTGAGATGACTGCCCCCTGTGCTGTTGAGGGAGAACGAAATTCCCTGGGGACGAAATTCCGCGCTTCCCTGGGGGGATGCCTAGACGGACCTTCTCACAGGAGGGAAGGAGGGTGGCGCGCATCCCTCCTCTCAACTTCAACAAGCGCGGGTGGCTAACAACTGTACCACCCGACTGGGAAAAGGCTCAACTATCCCTAGGATGATGGAGACCGGGTAATGATCAGAGCCTAAATTATCGAGCGAGTCGATAGATTTAAGTCGAAGAGAGACACACTTCATTAGTACAAAGTCTAATGTGTCGGGGTCGTGGTCGACGGCATAAGGGCATTGAAAATGTCACGCGCTGAGGGAACATTTTGAAGGATCAACAGAGCCAGAGGGAAAGGCCTCCTGGCTCTGTTGTGTATTTTGTGAACAGACTTCACGGAGAAGTCTTGTTCGCAAAGATTCTCTTGGTTCTGGTCGACAGGAAGTTCGTAAGGTACGTTACGCAGTCTAGTGAGGGCTCTGAAGTCCTCACTAGTGCGTGTTTCCACCCGGACAGCTGTACCCGTTTTTGGCATGGGTATAATTGATTTTATTGGATGAGCAGAGGCTGGAGACCTCTGCCCATCTCGCCTTGTCCCATACGAAGACGGGCGGGGGAGATTTGGATTTTCCCGGCTTGGGGTCGCATGCGGCCGGGAAGGGGGCGGGGTAATAGTACGAAGGGATTGTGTCACGGCTTTCAAAGTGGGCGGAGAGTGGCTCACTCGCTGGTATTGCCTCCGGAGGGTAGCTCATTGAAGACGATCCACATGAGGGGAGTGGACTCCCGATATAAGAGAGCGGGGTTTGCGCCGCTTTCAGCGATCGTCAACCAATTGGAAACCGATGACAGTGTTATCGGTATCGGATGACCTTGAGAAGTCATCGTCCAAAGGGGACGGAGATCCCGGAAGGGATCGCTGAGAAGTGATCCTCTTGATTGATGAAGATGGATTGATGGATGGAAGAAAAGTGTCGATGAAGCTTGCAAGCATATGCCGGCGCAGATTATTATATGACCTGATTTGGGGAGAAGAAAAAAAAAGAGATAGGAAGTAGCGCTTATGACATCCGCGATTTCCTCCGTCACACCTACCTATGTAAGGGGAAGCGAGTACTGAGGAAAAAGACCTGCAGGAGAGAAACTTCGGCTATCCCTATTGGAAGGTAGCGGCAACCTTCACCCTTGGGACAAGGCCCAAGTGCAATGGGATCGTGCAATGGGCCCAAGTGCAAGGTCTGCGCTCGATGACGCCGAAGGCACGATGCGAAATTACTCAGAGAGTGAAAATCGAAGCGCGCGCAAAGCAGAACGAGGAAAAATGCCGTTTATTGCACAAAAATCCATTCCTTACATTTTACATTGCTGCACTTAGCTAATACATTAATCAAATAGTCTAATAAGATTTATTGGAATGGAGGCACGCTACCTCTCACCGCGCGGGAGCGGAAGTTTGCTTCGTTCTTCCGTTGGTGGCGTTGTCGTCGCGGCACGGCTTGGGTACCTCTACATACGGTATAACATTAATTAGAGTAATATGACAGTTCTGTATAACCAACGTGCTGTATTTTTTCACTGTGAAAAAAAACTTTTGTGTACAAACGTACTTATATACCTTATAATTACTTATGATATAAAAATATTTATTTTCGAAGTCACAATATAGTTAAACAATTATACCCCTCCCCCCCCCATCATTTGATGTATCACAATAATGGAATATTTGGACTGAAATGTAGTTAGAGCTTAGATCTACAATGGTCCGCTTTTAAAAAGGGCAACAGTTTCTCAGCAACAGCATCAGGCCTAACAAGATGCACATCATGGTTTCCTTCAACAGTTTCAAGTGTTAAATTGCCAGTGGTTTTCAACCTGTCGACTAACTCGTCTACTGCTGCTGCTCTTTCGCTGTAGCCTTTGGCTTTTGTAGCCGATATAATGAGGGTCGGTGGAATGTTCGAGAACAACTGGTAATAGTAGTCGATTGGGAAGTTCTGGGGCGCAGGGTATTTTAAGCGACGATCCCAGGATAATCTGGGTAAGAAAGAGATATTATTATTAACCGCGGCTTCAACCTCGTAAATAGGTGTGTAGACAGTAAACGAAAATAAATACACATTTTTTTTTCTGGTATAAAAAACAAATGTTTTCACGCCCCTCTACTTATATCAGAATTAAACCCTAAGCACACATAGAACGATACTAGTTTTAGAACCGATTTCAAACTTAAAAATAATACTTATCTCATAAGCGACATATTCAAGAAAATTAGTTTTTAAGTTTTTTATTTCATGCATTTTTAATATTTTTTTATATAATAGGCAACACTAAAAATACTTTTCTGAAAACCGCGAACCTCCTTTTTTTGAATTAGGTTAATAAAATAAAAACATTTAAGTAAGTTGCCTATACCCCCCTATTATAGACTATGTCATCCGCATATAATTTATTTAGTCGTAAGTGGAAGAAGTTTTATGATCGGATCAGTATTTTCGAAGATTGCCCTCCAGAAACAAATAAATTTAGACTATTTCTTTATAATAAATAGGTATAGGTGACTGTTTCCATAATATTTATTGTCGTAATCGGCGTTATAATTCCCTCACTGTGGGGGCACATTTTCCCTATGAATGGAATTGAATAGAATAGGGTAAACGCGTCGTCTAAGTTGCAGCCGGGATTAACGGCTCAACCGAACACGATAAACCTGGATATTATACATTTTTGGTCACCCTACATACGGCTTCATCGAGTTCCATTATACATAATCAGCATATTATAGTCCCTATTGGTAAGGCACTGGCCTTTCCTATGGACGGCATTAGATATGGAGAATGTTCCGAAAGCGTTAAAAAGAGAGAAATAATCTTGGAACCCGTCTCCCTCTTTATTTGCGCATACGCATTTAGCGAGGAGCATACCAGAAAGATCCGTCAGTTTCTTTAAAACAAACTCGTTTTCCGTAATTACGACATTAAATAGGTACTCATTAAGAACACAAATGTCCATGAATGTTACAAAAAGAAATATTACGCAAAGAATGGCGTAAACAAACTATTTCGAACTTTTCGTCTTTTAGATAAGAATGATTCCCATTTCTTCTTACATCCAAATACGCAGTAATTATGTATTATTGAATGAAATTACAATCTTTCTAATTATAAATAAAAAAATAATAATAAATTCTTACTATGTTAACCATTCTTTGGGCACTACTCTGTGAATCACATTATATAAAACAAATGTTAATTAATCGTGCTAAAGCAGCAATCTGGTATAAAAAAAATGCATGGATAGTGCAACTGTAGTTTGTAATTATTAAAATTAATTGAATATTTAAATCTTACCTATATAAATTATCTCCGACTTTCTTCAAATTTCTACTCAGCACTATCTCAGCTTGGCTTGCACTCAGTCCCCTGGCTCTCATCACAGATTCCATAGCTTTCTCCTTACTCAAGAACCGGTTGTTCTGATTGTTCTCGTTGTAATGCTCGTAATATTCTGCATAAAACATGTTGTAATATTGCACAGGGTCAGTGTGCTGCAACCTCTGCAAAGACGGTAGTGGATCGAAGAATATGAACTTCTTTATCTTATTAGGATATATAGCATTGTAGAAGAGACCTGGAAATAATCAAAGAATTTTTCAAAACAAGATTATATTGTGTGGGTTGTTCATAAATATGTACGCCGCCATTTTGTAACCGCGGCCATTTTGGATGAATATAATAGTATTGTCATCAGAACTAAAGGTATATTTGAAATTTCAACTCGAACGGAGTTCAAACTAGGCAGTGGGTGAAATTTAGTTTGTAAGATTTGATTACAGAAGGACAAGCATCGGGGCAGGTGAAACTAAATAAAAGCTTACAAAAGCTTATAATCTCTAGGCTCTAAAAAATTATCAACCAATTGTTTTTTATTAACTTAATGTTATAGACTTTGGCCGTGCCGGCATTCATACTCCTTCATCATCGCTAGAGTTACCAGATCGCTAAACCTAATAGAGGGACAGGCCTGTTTAGCCAGACCTTTGGGTAAAAGAGCTTAGCACCCTAGATGTAAAAACCGAATATTTCTGATTACTTTACATAAATATTCTTAAATTCTAATGAAAATAAATAAAATCGAATGCAAATCAGTGTAAGTACTTTATTTCGAATGACTTTCGAAATGAATTTGATTAACAAAGCCGAGCACCGTTTAATTTGGCCGGACACGCAACCAAAAAGCCTAACTGTGTCCGGCTTTATCCGGACGCCTGGAAACCCTAACTGTCAAAACCCTAATAGAGATAAAGATAATAGAAAACGATTAGACACATATTTTTGTTGCTTAAATTTAATAAGAAATGGCAGTTGTACTCTAAATGGATCAGCATCTCAGTTTTTGATTATTGAGCTTACAAAGATCCGAAATAGAAACATATAGCCTCGTTTAAATTTGTTTAATAAATAGCATACCTAGATCACAACCCATCGAGTGTCCAATATATATAAATCGATTCCAGTTTAAGGATCTTATACTGATCACCAGGCTGCTTACAAAGTGCAATCTTGTCAGCATCACACCTGAAAATATCATGTTGCATTAGTATATTTGTAGGGTGAGTGCACATGTAGGAAACCATAGTACTGTCACCAGAGATTTTTTACAATAACCCAGCATTACACTTCTTTTTCGCTGGTGCACAAATTTGATGCCACTTTTGAAGTGAATTCAGAAATCTAAATGAATTCAGGTTCGGATTTTTACTAAATCGCAGGGCAGCATATGATGATATAGGAAAAACCTGCAGCAGCAACAACCCTGCTCTGTACCACTACCAACTGAGGGCTCAAAAAAGACATTAGACCAGATGTATACTTTGCCTACTAACTGCCTGTTGCATAAACGTATCATCACCAGCCCCATTACATCCCCACTGTAGGGGCTCAGGCCTTCCTTACGGATGATTAAGGAGGATGGGCCATGACCCTCCACACTGGCCCAATGCGGATTGGAGGGTATTAAAGACTGCAAATGCAACCATGACAACGGCTTAACGTGCCTCCCTAAGCCGAAGTAGCTCGAGATAATAATTTTTTGGTCACCCATCCCGTGACCGACCCTTACGAAAGTTGCTTAACAACAACTATCGCGGGCCGCGGCGCTTATTCTCTACGCCACCGAGCTACTTATAAATGTATATTAATAAATTTATTTAGATCACTGTCATTAATTTAAATCAACATTAGCAATAAACAACTTATAACATTAATTAGAGCTTGACGTCGTCATTAAAGTTTAATTAAATTAACAATTAAAGGATGAATGATCCTGAGACATTTCCACTCATGTTCGCATAGTTAAGTATTGTAGCCAAAACAAATAATATATTAGGACAAAATCACATATATTGATCAGATTTCAAGATGAGCAGCTATAGGCTGCGTACTAGTGGTATATCTGAGTCAACAAAGGTCCCATAACACCCAGACTAGAGAAAATATATAAAAGTTCATTAATAATAATACTTTTTTGCTTTTAAATGCGTACACTGTTTATTTAAATACAATTTAATTTCGCCCATTTAGCCATCAGCAATAGTAAACAAGTATTGACAATTAAATAATTGCAAAGTCATATATTCAATGTCAAAATTATTAAAATTACAAATACAAGGTATCATTGTTACACAAAAGTATTATTGAATAAAATTATTAATTCCATTCGCATTATGTCATATGAAATAAAATGCTGTAGTCATCTATACTAAAAGAAGAAAATTTCATTGTTTGTTTGTTTGCATCAAATAGGCTCTAGAACTACTGCACCTATTTTAAATTTCTTTTTAACTACAGGAATCTATTAATTAATTTGTTATATTTGTGTCAAAGAGTAAAGTATACCCATGTCATAATATGAAAGCTTATCCAGATGATTTATTAAATAAAATTCTAAGTTTACATTCAGATTTGTTTTGGGCTACTTTTTATACCACTTAACAGTTCCTTAGGGACCACACTACAACCACTAAACAATTTCTTAGAAAAGCAGATAATGTCAGATATAATAAGTCATACATTTCAATACATTATACAATTCACAGTACATGCATTCCCTATTTATTTTAATAATTTAAATATTCTGTAACATTTTCTCCATTGACCCAGCCAGGAATCGAACCGGGGACCTAAGAGATGACGAAACCTTGAAACAGGCATATGAATCATTCAGCCATGGAGGTAGTCAAATATAGTGGGTACAATCATTTTGCTCCAGATGTCACATATCTACTTAACAATCAAGAGATAGGAACTTTGTATAACAGTGTATAAGATTTTACTTATCGGCAAAGGATCAGACATTCCATGTCCAGGTAAGTCGAGGGCAACATAATAGCAGTTATCAGGCAAATACTCTAAGATGGGGATAAAGGTAGCAGCACTGTCCTGACGACCATGGACCAAGAGAGCTGGGTCACCATTAGGGTTGCCCCTAACAAAACAAAGTGTTAATTACATGCTTAAGACGAAAACTAGTTAACTGAATTGGTACATATTGCAGCAATGAAGTTTCTGCACTTGATTTTGAACTCTATCTTCAATTCTGCACTTCAAGTAATTTTATGTTAGTTTTTAATAGTCGAAACCAAATAATTGCAGTATGAATTTAATTTTCTAATAAATTCCTATCTTCGAAGAACAAGATGTCCAAACAACTGCCTGTGTTCTATTAGTTATGATTAGAGATGTGCTGAATAGTGGTTTGCACCATATTACCGAATTACAGCCAAATTTACCATTTCAGTGATATGTAGCATAACTATTTAATTTTATTTAAAGTTTAATTGCTTTATTTTATTAGCTTTATAAAACGCATTCTTCATAGGATTACTTTAATTTATAACATAAATCTTAAATAATAAGTTTTATCTTTTAATACTATACTATGTTGTGTAGCCCAGATGATATAAATACTTGAACTGAATATATCCATCACCAAAACCAAATAATTTGGCTGAATTGAATATGCTGAATACTGAATGAATATATCTTTTAATACTATACCGTGTTGTGTAGCCAAGATAATATAAATACTAGAACTGATTATATTGTTGAATATGACTGTTTCATCCTTTTATTTATTTATTTATTGCATTCCACAATGTAGTATTAAGATGTTTATAACATAAAAAAGTTTTATTTTTGTTATAAGTATCCTTATGGACCTCGTCGGGCACAGCAATTTTTATGAAACACCTTGCACTTGGAGAAATACTCAGGTATTAAGCATTTACTTATAATCGAATTCAACACTTACACGCTATTTTACCCCATGGCGCGTTGATATACCACTCTTTTAGGACCTTCTTCATTACAGATAAATAATTATTTTAATTTTAATCACAATCAAGATTCTTATGAACTTTGGAATATTTGTTTACGCAATTTATGAGTAGTAGTATTAATTCGTCCATGGGACAGGCGAAGGAACTAAGCCGCAATTTATGAACTAAAATTTACAATGTAAATTTTTAAAACATAAAATTAGACGTCTAATCAGTCAGATAAAGTTTTTGACAGCTAAATAGGTCTTAAATAATACACAATTTAAATTCTAAAATTTATAATAAAAATCAGATTATAACTTTTTGAAAATTAAGTTGTATATACATCATTAAACATTAACAAATATCTGTTAGATTGTATAAAAAGATATGAAAATATTTATTGGAAAAATTAAAGCTTGTTTCTTAAATAAAATTATTTTATTTTAACGCATTATTAAAGACCTAAATAATTGAACGGAGTCAAATCCGCGTTTTACCTCGGAAATCTAAACTTCTCTAATCTCGTATAGAAGATACAATTTTATTTAAGTCCCTTTTCTACATTAAAGTGGTTAATAAAAGGTTACTAAAAATTTATTGCGATCATCTTAAGTTAATCATTGAGATAATGTTCTCATCTAAGAAAAAGTAGACAATCCAAAGCGATTCCAAAGTAAGTGTACTTGGTCTACTCAATCACTGGTCATCATCCAGTTATTATGTTAGATGAAATGTGCCAGATTTCGATATCCTTCCCTTTATGTTATAAAATTGGGAGTTTAAAAACATGAAGTACCTATGTATTACGCAAGAATTTTAAGGAAAAAATGTATTTCCCCCTCGGCATTTTTATCTATTATAATAATATTGTAAACTGGTAAGATTTGATTGTTTGTTAATTCGCATCGAATAGACTCTGAAACTACTGACCCGATTTTCTCTTTACGAGAAGCTACATCATAGGCTGGCGACATACTATAATTTACGCGGGCGAAGTCGCGGGAAAACAGCTAGTCATATTTTAAAGAGGTTAATTATAATTATATGCAATCGGGTCTTGTTATAATAATGTATACAAATCGTGTGAGTTTAAAAATATTATTAAAGAGGTTAAGTTTCTAATTCTGTTTGCTTGAAGGGGGAATTTTCGGATATACAGATCATGAGAATTGGTTCACCTTCGGCATGAATTGGTTCATGCCTCCGCTACTACCTACATCATCATACGCGCCGCTGGTGATATAGGCAATAATTTACTCGGACAAAGTCGCTGGAAAACGGCTAGTATTAAAGCAACAGTAAGGGAATGCAAACTGACTATAGATCCCAGCACAGTGCCTTGTGGAACTCCTGGCATATAGCCACTCTCATCCAATACGGACATTTATTTTCAATGTACATTTTTTTTTAGATTATTTGTAATCTAAATATTATCATAATATCGCCTCGTTCCGTTATAATATGAGGTTAGAAACCGCATCGAAAGCCTTAGATAAATCAAGCAAAATCCCTGTATGTATATAATTATGTATTTATTACCAATGAACAGGTAAGTACATTAAATTTCAACATCAACTTAACACAAACTTCAGTAGATAAGCCACTTCAGGGATGCGACCGCCGAACTCATGTTTTATAGGTTTTACACATGAATCTGTTGATATTGTTTTAAAATTAATCATTTTTTATTATTTACACATTTAATCAATTCTTTTAGTTTTTTTTTTGTTTGCTGAATTATTAAAGTTAAACGAAATTTACAAAATGTCGAATTGATACAAACAATGCTGTTTCGAAAAGAAAAATAAACCAAAGTGTTTGATAAAATATATAAATAAAAAAAAACTATTAATTTTAAAAGAATATAAACAGATTCATAAGAAATATCGATAAAGCATAGGTTACCTATAGCTACGACTACGGCTACGTCCATGAGTTAGGCGGTCGCGCCCCAGGAACCACATTTATCTGGAGATATTAGATTTTATTTATTACGATAAATGAATAGTAGAAAAGGAATGAGAACTGGAATAAATCTGTTGTTCACGGACCTTTAATTATCAAAGTAAACAGCAAAGTGTGTGCTTCATTTCATTCTAAAGATATATTTAAATGACTACTGGTTGATATTATAAAAAGTATATTTTTTGTAATAAAGGCATAATTGTGAAATGTTTTTGGTTTAACTTTAAATACTTTCGCAATGGAAAATTATATGTAAGACCGCTCATGCTCGTAAATACGCTGAATTGAATGAGATGGTGGACCTTGCTACCATTTTTTCGCAGTTAGGACAGCAGTTTTCCACGTGATATAAATTTTCTTTACAAGAAGCACTTCAAAATATTTTCCCACAGTTTGTCGAATCCCCAGATTTCTATCGTGAAACCATAAACGAACTTCCGTCTAGATGGCAACAATGTATAGATAAATTAGGCTAAATATTTTCATTAAATAAATATATTACATCTTAGAAAAAAAAATTGTTTTAATTTTCATTACAAATCGGCGCTTTCATACTTAAACCCTGTTATGTCACATATTTGAAATTCGCTAAAAATTCATCTAAAATAGATTCAATATTGAAATATAATATGGCGTTCTATCATAATTTAGATTTATATTTATTTAGTTCGTCATCGCTGAGAAATTCAACAATATATGGTGCTAGTGCTTCAGGATTAGTGATGTGTACATCATGGGCTCCGTCCACAATCACTATGGAATGTCGGCTGTCTTTTGCCAATTCCTCCATTATGTCAGCCGAATGTGCTCGTCCTATTCTATCTGATCGACGAAAAGCAATCAAGTGCAGCATACGTGGCGGGTTTTTGGTAATGACAGACTTGAGCATATCTTGTAATACTGGGAATTGTCCAAGTTTCCGCATCATTAATTGGCGGGTGAATCTGAAAGGGAATTTTAAATATTATCCATCTAATTAAATAGTCGAGAGAATAGTTTTGTCGTATTATCGTATAACAATTGAGCCGGTGCTTATCAGGTGTTAATGAGTTATCAGCGCTGGCTCTATGAAACTTGGCGCCCTAGACAAAACAATAAACTATAAAAAATATCAACAACATAAAAGACTAATGTACATAGGTACACCGTAAACCGATCAAAGAGTGTAATTTTGCAAAATGACAAAAGAAACTCCTCAGGTACTGCAAACTGTACTATGCAATTCAATGTGCATTTGTTTGGGACATATGTTTCAATATGGAACGATATAATTATTTGCGCAAATGGGCTTGTGTGTGTGAGATCGTATGTATTGAAGTGCAAGTGTGATGTAGGTCGATAATGCGGACAAACAGGTGACATCGTTTTTCATTCAAACAGCCAATGATTTTATTTTTATATTTAACGAAATAATAACTAGTAAATCAGATGTTTGTATACCTATATAAATCTTCTTTGATATGTTCCAGTCCTCTCACAGATATCACCTCGGCCTGTTCCCTTGATATATCACGGCTGTTCATCAACAGCTTCAATGCTTGCTCGCGTGTGTAAAGTGGGGAGTCCTCGAAGTTCCTGTACCATTATAATTTTTAGCTCGGTGGCGTAGTCAATAAGCGCTGCGGCCCGCGATCGTTGTTGCTAAGTAACTTTCGCAATGATCGATCACGGGACAGGTGATCAGAAATTATTGTCTCGACTTACTCACTCCGTGCTTTAGAAGGCACTTTAAGTCGTTGGTCCCAGCTGCATTAGTACTTTACAGTCGTTAATGCGCGCATCAGAATACCCCCCCCCCTTGCATGCTCTTAACGAGATGTCTAAATTGAAAAACGAATTCATTAGAATATAAAGCCATTTGCCACCACAATATTAGAAAATAACAAGAGAATATACATATTATAATTCACATGTGTCAATCATAATTCTGTCTCACAAGGTCGCCGACCCATGGCATTAATAATTAAATTTCGTTATTTTCTCTTTTGGTAACTCTATTTAATAAGTGGTATATTAATCACTTTGTATACTCATCGTAGCACGACTCGTAGAAGTAGTAATACCAAAAATGAGGTTCGTCCTGAATAGCGTAATAATTAGAGATAGCCGGTAAGGCATCTATGTTCACCATACTAGTGATCTTCCCCGGATACACGTTGTGGTAGAATATTGCTGTAACAGAAACAAAATATACGATAAAAAAATATGTTTTGTTCTTCCATGCTATTAGTTACGTATTATTTTTATTTTATCCAAGACTAAATGTCACCGTTTATGAAAGCCATAGAATGCCCCAGCACCATAAACTTGTCCCAGCCCATGTGTGTGACAACTCTATGAATCACTTCGATGAGGGTGACCTGGGTGACCATAGGCCCAATCGGATAGGGATCGGATTTGCCGTGACCTGGAATAATAAACAATGTGCCAAATATAGTCGATATTTTTCTTATACACAATGATAGTGTATGTAGATGTAGACAGGTAGGTAAATTGAATATAAAAAATTGATTGTACAAATTACCAGCTATATAAAATTATAATATATGAGGCAAAACACCGCCACCACCACCATAATTTGGCATTAAACGACTGGAAATGTAGCCGTGACCGACGGCTTAACATGCCTTCCGAAGGACGGAGTAGCTCGAGATAATATTTTTTTTGGTCACCATCCCATGACCCTAGCGAAAGTTGCCTAACAACAACGACCGCAGGCCGCGGCGCTTTAAATACTACGCTAGCGAGCTACTCATTCAGATCTAATAATAAACAGCAATGAAAAGATACAAAAATGTTGAAGAAAGAAAAGAAAGTTTTTTGACCCTCCATTTTCAAGAATAAAGAGAATCATTACCTGGATTGTCAAAGCCGACATAGTAATATAAGTCTGGTAGATGCTCAAGCAATGGTATGAAGGTAGCCGCTGTGTCCAAGTATCCATGCAGCATCAACACTGGCGGGTTTCGAGGGTCCCCCCATGACACCACTGTAAAAAATGATTTTATCTTGAATTCAATTAAATTGTATGTGGGACTGGAGTTTGTGAGATCCTTGCCGGATCCCAGGTCCTCCCCCCCCTGGAGGGTACTCACAGCGGGTTTTACCAAGTAGGCCGGCCTCGCATAAGGCTATCCTTTTTAGGACGGGTGCGGGGTCGGAGTGCCCAGGTTTAAAGCAAAAGCTTGCACTCCCTGCGTTAAAAAAGGCTTATAATAGTATAATAATGACAGACTAAAATAACAATAGCATGGATCTTGGCCACTTTAAAAAAAGTTAATATTATCAAAGACAACAACCAATAACTTGATGGCTCAGTAGTTCTCATTATCTCGAGCTCCTCCGTGAAGGCCCGTAATGCTATCGTACTCTGCTGCAGCTGCAGTGATTAAAGCCCGTACTCGGAGACTTCCGTAGGTACTCGGTTCACGTGATCAGTCATACATGATATCTATCATCATAGTTTGACTGTATTATATATGTACATAGGGAAGGCTTGTCTCCCAGCAGTGTGAACAATAGTCTGATAATGACAAAACATGTCGTCAAGTTAAATAAACAAAATAACAAATAGATATGTCTTCATAATTTACAATGAAAGTATCTATTCAGTAAACATATCTACTGAAATGTAATATTTGTGTGGAAGCGTTCAAAGTGCTATATTTTATCGGTGTGTGGTAATTAAAACATGTCACGTATTTTATTACGTCTGCTCTGGACTATTTAATACGAGTATTATTGATTTTCTGTTATTATGCATATCGTTGTACATCAGTATTTATTTACTGAAAGTGACTTCAGATCCTAATCAAGTCACTTTTTAATTTTAATTTGACATCTCTGTATTAAATAAAACAGGGAGAACAAAGCAGCCCTTGTCGAGTTTCTTGCCGGTTCTTCTCAGTACATAGTCTCCTGCCGTAGATTTACGAACCAATGACATAGCTTTCGACATTTACAAGTGCTTGTAATAGCCTAGATAAATAATACAAAATTTGAATTAATTATTCTCAGTCCGCTGGATCATTTTTTTTTCAGGTGTGCTTCAAGTAACAATATTAGGACCTCCACCTTTTTTAATTGTTTTAATAATAGTACAACCTTTCCATACTAAAAATATAAAAACAGCAGTGACATACAATAACAAACTACCGTAAGCAGTGCTATGTGCGTAGTACCGTTCCCCCCACTCGACTTTAAAACTTAATACATTGCGGTTGAAATTACGACAACCTGACGCTAACATTGAAATTGTAGTAACCTGACATGCTGCTGTGTGTACAACCTTAATAATACCATGGTTGAGAAAATTACAATAACCGCTATTCTTCAATGTGTATGACAAGATTACCTTGAACCGCCTTGGCCTTAGTCGAAAAAAAAAGTCAGTGGTATACAGAAATATCACCGTGTTATGATTACAAAGTAATATTGTTTTATAGTCCATGTTTCCTTTTTAAACAGCTATAATGACTCTTCATTTCTCTCACCTCGACTTTAAGTCCGAAAATAATGTCAAGGACGTTTTTAAGTAGCATCAGATAAGAGTCAGTGACTTCCTGTTCCTATTGGGACGTTAATTTACGAAAGATTCTGTTAAACTATATATTCCAAAAACAATTTAGGATGTAACAAGCCGTCATAGAGAATTAGAGACTCAACAGCACTGTGGTTAGTAATTTCATGTTTTAAAATACTATAATGAAAAAATTGTGCATTCTGTTAATAAAGTGAAATAAAAATATTAAAATTATTAGATATTTATCAGTTAAGTTATATTTATTTACTCAATGAAGTATAATATTCCTTCCTCATACGAATGTTTTAAAAAACATCAAGGCCAAAAAACAGTTAGTTTTAATTGTTTTTTTTTTTTTTTTTAATTAAGAAGGTAAATATACTTACTTGCAACTTTACCCCATATTGTGTCGACAATCCACTCCCGAGACTGCTTTTTTAACATCCTTATCTCAAAACTTTCAAATGTCTTACTGAAAAAATGTTTTATCACTACACAATGGATTATTATTAAAATCAGTCAATAGAATATCATAGAAGAATTGGATAAATATCGTACGCGAAATTTATACGATTAACAAAATATATGTTATTATCTTTGAATCCCACGATAAACAGAAACACGTCTAACGTATAGAACCACAGAATAAATAATAACGCAAAATATAGATATGCAATCATGTTTTAATCTAATGGTAACTGAAATATCACTTTTCTTGAGGTTTTTGTTGGTTAAAAGTTGGTGAAGAGAATGTGAGTTCTTAAGTTTCTTTTGTTCTTACATAAGTTCTATTCATAAGTATAGTGGTCGGATTCAACATTTGGAAAACGACTCGTTTTGATTTTGACACAGTGTTAGAAAAATAGAACCGACATCGGGCGCCTATTTTTTTTCGCCTATTTCAATAGCATTTTCTTGAATAAGTCACTTTTGAAATAAGTATTATTTATCTTTTTTTTTTAAGTTTATAGTCGGTTCTATTTCTTTTACTTTTCGTTTAATATATAATAGATAACACTAAAATACTTATTATATTTTGATTAATTTTGCATTCACAATGCCATACTGAAAATTATTCTTAATGCTTAAAAAATCCACTTGGTCCCTGGCACCTTGAGATGGGAATCGAACCCACGACCTTTCGCAACCCGGGCGTCTACTCTAACCACTGAACTACCCAGGACCTAACAGGACTGACGAATCTTTCAAGCACTTGTTACTTTTCGTTACTACAGAGCGTATTCTCATCAATGTAAAAAAATATACTTTCCTGAAAACCGCGTCAAAATTGGTTCGGGCAATATATACAACACGTGTTAAACTGTGAAACTCCATTTTAATATACCTAAAACCTTCTTCTAACACTGACAAATACTATGCGGTTTTCATCGCATCAAAATCGGTTTAGCTAAACGCACATACATATATACAGGTCAAACTGACAATCTCCTTTTTTGTAGCCGGTTAAAAATATACGACGGCCAACAACAAACTAAAAAGTAAAATACACATGCTGTATTGTGGCTCAGTAAAATTCTCATTGTACGAGGGTCAAACTGAAAGTTCTTAGAAAATCAAAAACTGATTACATTAGCCAGTTATTAGTTTTATTATATCTTTTCAAAATATTGTCCATTCACGTCAATACACCGCTGCATGCGATGGAACCACTGGGAAAAGCACTTTGCCCACTCGTCCTTAGGGGTCTCTTCAATGGCATCGCGATACGCAGCCACCGCTTCTTCAGCATTCATAAACCGCTTTCCTTTAAGTTTTTCTTTAATTTTTGGAAATAAATAAAAATCACAAGGCGCGAGGTCGGGGCTATACGGCGGGTGACCTCTTTTAGATTACAAATGTTTCACAGAACGGTTCATATTTTTAGACCAGTGTATATTGCCTTTTTTGTTTATAATTTATTTGTGTGTATTTCGCAATAGTCGTGTTATTATGTTTTTTTGGTATATTATTACAATATAGTTGATGTTTTATTTATGATATATTTAATACGTGGATTTTATTATTGTTGGACTTATTTCTTCTTTAATTATAATCGAATAAACAAGAAGGTCGTATCGAATCAAGTAGTTAGTTTTTTGGAAGATATGTAACAACCAAATTATACTGAAATTCCAGTCGGTGTTCCTCCGATGACATGGAGCGAAAACAGCCTTGTTCCACGTATCAAATAACCTCACGAAAGCATCGGATGATGGAATGAGTAGTATACTGACACGTTTGGATTATATACGAGCTTTTGATTGGTTACCACCAGAACTTCCTTTGAGAAAACTATATCATTACATACGGCTTTCAACTAATATGTAAATGGTTTGAAACATAACTAACTGGTAGGGAACAAACAGTGGTCACATATACAAACAAGGACTCTTTCGCCGTCTAAAACAGTAAGTCGTGGTGTACCACAGGGCTCAATATTAAGTCCTATTTTGTTTTCACCTCCCACAATGCATAAAAAAACTATAAGTTTAGCGAAACTAAAGATACTCAAAAAGCAATCAATGATAATCTGCAAAGTTTGTATAGTCTAAGCCAAAAACTCATTGACTTTAAATCCCAATAAATCACAGATAATGTGGACCAAGCATCAAATTGAAATGGTTAGTGGTTCTTGATAAGGTAACGTCAGCGAGAAATCTGGAAATTATATTTGATGGTGAGCAAAAGTGAGAATGAAGTGAGTGAAATGAAAGTTCTTGTTATAGAAGTAAATGTTTAATCACAATTTTTTGACATGTATTCCAAACTAATACGAATCTTGTAGTGTGCCTGCTACCTTGATGTCAAGCAAGCAGACACAATAAGATATTCTAATGTCTCTTAATGTATAGTGTCACTATTTAAATGCTTTGTTTCGCTCACTATTTATTTACAATTTATTGATATACATAAGACCCTGAAATGCCTTGGTGTGCCTGTTACCTTAACGTATACAAATAAAGTAACAATTACAGGCTATAAGCAACAATGTATGCACAGAAACATTCCAAAATCCGTAAGTATCCGTAATATGCACATGACAGAGTAACTTTTACAACGATGGAGTGCTACAGTTAATTTAACTGAAAATGGAACGTTAGTTTGAATTGCCGGCTGGTAAAGGTTAAAAATATAAGTTAACTATTCACAACCGCGCATTATGGCAGCGCCTAAAAAACAAAAGAACATCGCCAATTGTTATTTTATAGGCAAAAGATTTAATAAATAATTTTAAAAAACATCAATTTTCTCTATAAACAAAATTCAATTACGGACAAAAATCGGAAAAAATATGACACCACTATTTACTGTACAAACTCTAAGATATATGAAATAATTTTCTTCTGTTTAAAAACAGATTATTTAGAAGTTGTTTCATAGTACAAAAAAATGAAATACCTGAGTGTATAATTATCTATAATTATCTGGACGAAAAATGACTTCATATTTTAATATAGTCTTATTTCAATCTTGATATCTCTGTATGAAATAGAAGCGGCCCTTACTAAGTTTCTTGGCGGTTCTTCTCGGTACAAGGTCTCCCGCCCTAGGCAAAACACTGGAACTCGGTGCCATAGACAAAACACTGGAACTCGGAGCCTTAAACAAAACACTGCAACTTGGAACACTAGGTTTACGTCTGGAACGACTTCATTAAAAAATTATAACAAAATAAAAGACTGCAACGACTACTAGGTACACCGATATAAAGAGTAATTTTGCCAATGACAAAATAAACTCTATAGGTGCTGCTAGAATTAAATCATTAATTTCGCTGACACCCTTTATTTCACGTGCACGTTATCATACTATTCATATTAACTACAGATTAACTCGATGTAATAAGTAGTCTTAGAACGGAAAAATATATTTTTTTGATTCAAGAACATCACTTAGAGATAAATTCTAAGAAATTGAGATATTGACAGTGGCCTCTCAGTTTATATATAACTGTATACTCTATGTTAGAAACTATATTAACAGTTACGTTAAACATAGTCATGTAAACATTCTTAAAAATTAGAAATAATGATAAACATATGTATTTTGCCGTCATGCAAGCTACGTTTTTGCAACATTTATGAGACACTACTTTAACAAGTAGCGTAACTACAGGATGGCAAAATGCCATGGGCCTTCAGCTGGAATGTGCCCCCGGTTAGAGCAGACTCTTTACTCCTGACATTTATTATTACGCAATTAGTAAAAAAAATGAATATCAGATGAATTTGCCACGGGCCTCAAACGGTATGGTTACGCCACTTACTATAACAAAATTCCGACAGAAATTTTAAATATACCATTGCCTAAATTAAATATCCATATTAAAAATAGTTTACTTAGTAGGTATAGGATATTATACTGTTAATGAATATTTATTAATTGCATTTATCGATTACAAGAAGACATATGATAGTGTGGAATCGTGGGCTGTTGCTCAGTCACTATAAAACGCTCGAATAGACTATCGGTACACAAAATTAATTAAAAACGTTTACGACAAACCAACGGCAACTAAAAGAGGTGTTAGACAAGGAGATACACTTCCCCGATGCTATTCACACTTGTTCTGGAAGATGTATTTGAGGAACTTTCATGGGATCAACGTGGTCTAAATATAGTAGAAACTAAATTGAGTAATTTAAGGTTCGCGGATGATATAGTTCTTCTCACAGATAATCCAAAAGAATTATAAATTATGATCCAGGACCTTCAAGCTGGTTTTGAAATGAACTTGTATAAAACCAAGGTATGTTTACTTAGGACAGGAGATCAGATAGGACAAGGTCAACCAATCAAACGAGCATCACAGGCGGACAAGGCTTATGAAAATTTCTGCGAAACAAAAATCCAGGACATAAAACCAGTTCGTCTTACCAGTACTCACTTATGGCGCCAAAACCTGGGTCTTCAACAAAAACACCATCAATAGATAGGGAGTGGCCCAGAGGGCAATAGAGAGAAAGCTGGTAGAAGTGACACTATTGGACCGCAAAATAAATAAATTGCTGCGAGAGCAAAGCAAAGTCGCAGATGTTACAAAGCAGGTGGCGCACCTTAAGTGGAAGTGGGTAGGATACGTGGTCCGTTACGAAAACTCTTGGTGGATGAGGCTCCTCGTATGGAGGCCCTGGGGAAATAAGCGTCCGCGAAGTAGATCAAGAGGATTGCAGGTTCCAAATTGTTGGAAAGAGCTCAATACCGAGATGAATGGAAAATTCTGAAGGAGGCCTACACTGATACAGTAGAGACAGGCTAAAGAAGAAAAAAAGAAGAACAATGAATATTTAAACGACAAAAATCATGACTTAATTTTCACAAGTGTGTATTTGTTGGGTGCAGTATCATGCAGTTTATCGTTTATCATTTTACGCTACATTTATTTAATATGAATCGATTGAAGAGTAAATATCTTTTGTATGACTTTTTATATTTTTTAATATTGTGATGAAAATTGACATAATATTTTAAACAGGGAGAAAAAGCAGCCCTTGCCGAATTTCTTGCCGGTTCTTCTCGGTACAAGGTCTCTTGCCGTAGATTTACGAACCAATGCGATGGCTCAGAGTTTCGACTTTCATAAGTGCTTTATAACAAACTGAATAAATGAATTTGATTTGATTTGATAATGACGTGTTTTCCGAAGTATGGTGGTACTTGACATAACATATAAATTAGGATAACCTAATTGATGTCTTGGCAAAAGTTACCTAAGATAATAAGCTATTTTCTCGTGACTAAGACAATCAGTCTCTTTTTAAATTATATACAATTATACCGGTCAATATTCATTCGGATACAGGCATAATAAAAGCGTCTTTCGACAATAAAACGATAAGAATAAAAACTACATGTCATTGCTGTTATATGTTTATCTGTACGTCACTAGAATAATCATATGTTATCAATTCGCGACATCATTTGTTCCGACGGTGCTCTGTTAGTGAATTTGAAAAAGAAAGGATAATATTCGATAAACAAAATGCAGTTGAAAGAAATAGAAAAGGAGTTCAGTGTTCAAGCGCCTTGGGGCAATATTAATGGTATGTATTTTTTTTTAAGGAAATGTTTTGTCTATAAAAGATGAACTCGCAGTACCAAGGAGATCTTATATTTTGGGGATTCGTATCCTTTCGACACAAATTGCCATAGCGAAACCATTACGATGACTCATAGACTATAGTCCGTTTCACATAGCATGTGTGTGGTGACGTTTGTTAACAAATCCATTTCACGCAATTTTTTATTCCGAAATAATTAAAAACTAACGATGGTTTTTAATTTTTTCGCCTGTGTATTATATATATTAGATATTTATTTAATTAGATATTTATTTGCATATTAAAATACAAATATTTTTTAATAGCCATAATTACTGAAGTCTAACCCTTAAAGTTTTAAACATCAATATTTGTGTCGCAAATTGGAACAGGCACTCTGAGATGGTATACCCATGACGGATTGCGAAAGACCATGGAGTTCTAGTCAAATTTCAGAGTGCCAGGGACAAAGTGGATTTTATACGAATTTTTCATTAAGATTTTATTTCAGTATAGCATTGTGAATGCAAAAATTTTGCAATTATAAAATTTTTAACTTTTTTAATAGGGATATAATCATTTGTAATTTATTTAAGTATTGTTGTCGTAGTTAAATTAAACTTGTTATTCATCTTGTTAATGAATAAATATTAAGTTGGGGAACTAGTCTTTTCACATATAAAGCATATACATAAACTTTTTTTTTTCTGGCTGGTTTCGATATCATTATAAAGTTTAAATTTTAAAGAATATAACTCCGAATTCAAATAAGGAAAATGTGTAATTTCATTTGTTTTTCTTACTGTCAAAATGAGTGAATCCAATGCAACAATTACATAAATTTTTAAAATCTTATCACAAAAAAGGCAAAATTGCAACGCAAGCAGCGAAAAAAAGTGTTACGTTTACGGACCTAGTGCAATTTCTGTGAGAGTAGCACGAATTTGATATAAGCGTTTTTAGTCCGAAAATTTAGATGTCAAAGATGTACGTCGCCCTGTTACGAATAAAATGGGTGCCATTTTTGAAAAAGTGGTGCAAGATCGGCATATCAGTAGTTACGACGTAGCTGAAGAACTGCGAACTGACCACAAAGTAAAGGCGCATTTGAAAAAAGCTGGGTATACAAAAAAGTTGGATATTTGTATACCTCACGAGCTCACTGAAAGAAACCTAATGAACCGTGTGGTTCTTTATTACGGCGTAATGAAACCGAACCATTTTTGATCAAGCTATTGGCCGGTAATGAAAAGTGGATCACGTACGACAAGAACGTGCGAAAAAGGTCGTGTGCAAAAGTCGGTCAGGCTTTACAGACTGTGGCGAAACCCAGGTTAACTCGCAATAAGATGATGCTGTGTGTATGGTGGGATTGGAAGGGTATTATTCATTATGAGCTATTACTGCCAGGCAGGACCATCGATTCTGAACTCTACTGCGAAAAACAAGTTACAAGTTAGGAGTTAAGAGAACGCAGCCAGACTTAATTAATAGAAGAGGTGTGGTTTTTCATCATGACAACGCTAAACCTCACACATCTTTTGCAACTCAGCAAAAATTAAGAGAGTTTGACTGGGAGGTGTAAATGCATCCGCCTTATAGTATTTCCACCTGTTTCGTTCTCTTCTGAATTCTTTAGGCAGTGTCAGGTATATCAGAAGTTCCAAAATTTCTATAGAAATAGGAACACATGATCCTATTTATAAGATGGCAAAAAGTTATCAAACACAACGGTGCCTATATACTTTAGATAAAAGTCAATAAACTTTATTAAAAATGATTTTCATTTTCATATAAAATGCGAAGAAACTTTTTCCCCAAACTATTATTTATACAATGACCTCAAAATCGTTTTTCTCTATTATAAATGAACTCAATAATATCGTGATTTTTATGTATTTTTTTTAATACCACGTCACTAAAAACTTCATATCACAAACGTCACAGTACTCGTGCTATGTGAAAAAGACTATAGCAACCAAACACGAGAAAATACATACACAAAAGATGCCTAACTCGTACGAATTAACAATCCACTTGAGGGAATATTCTATTTGTATTCGAACGAAAATTCGGATTTCAAACCTTTCTTATAAGTTTGTTGATATCATATCCGTGAATATTATCTAATGCATCACGAGGCTTTTTTTCAGCATTTTGTATTCGATGAAATAGAATAGGCCTTTAGGTATCACTCTCCGGCCACGAAGGAAGACCAAGGGTCCTGTTAATTGGGGTGAGTGTCCTAGCGACTCAATCCCGGCTTCCTAGGTCTCATCCCCCAGAAAAAGAGTACATAGGGTTTTGGTGGGTAAGCCTTAAGTGACGGGAGAGAGTCCCACCCTTGTCGCTCGCCAAACAGGGACTGTAAAAGCATTTACCCGACGCATAAAGAAGGTACCATGTGATCAATCATGTTACTTCGTACGAGTAAACAATTCTACCGTATAATGCTCAGACTAATACTTTGTATCCAGCACTTCTGTATAGCTTATGGAAAACCTTATCGGTATTGACGATTAAAGGTCAAATCACATCAAATAGTAATAAATAGTTTAATCTACTGAAAGATAAGATAACTTAGTGGGATACGATTAATTGACTTTAATCTTTCTAATTAAGGATTTATTGAGTATGCGCCAATGCGCTATATTTAGGTACAACACTATACAGATTTGACTGTTTCTTAAATTTAATGGAATAGGCTCGGAAATTACTGAACCGATATTAGAATTTCTTTCGCCTACGAAAAGCTATATCATATGCGGGAGATATAGGGTTATAACTTAAGTGGCCGCCAGCAACTTCGTCCGCATTTTCCATTATTTCTTCGCTCCTAATAATTGCAGCGTGATGTTATATAAAATAATTTTTCAATTCGAACCAGTAGTTCCTGAGATTAGCGCGTTCAAACAAACAAACAAACAAACTCTTCAGCTTTATAATATAAGTATAGATGTGGGCAAATTCGCAGGATAACAGCCAGTCCATGATAAATTTGTAAGTTCAAGTAAAATGTATAGTTTGTTAGGGTCGATGCAAATCAGATAAAAAAATTCTCAGGCGTCTCACGCAACTTTAGTACGCGATGGGATCTCTATCGAGTGTCCAAGGTGCTTATTGCGCAGTGAATAGCACTTTAGAACTGCGATCTCCATATTCGATTCGATATATATATATGTATATGCAAACTCTAATGTCATATTATTGTTTTTTGCAGGCGTCACATGGGGTGATTCATCCCTTCCTCCCGTTTTAGTTGTGCACGGCAAGTTAGATGTGTGCACAGGCTTCCGTCCTTTGGTCACCCTCCTACCACGAACATTCTACTACGTAGCGATAGACTTACCTGGGAACGGTCGCTCAGACCCTCTACCAAGAGGTGTGAGGTTTACAGTTTTCGACTTGGTGCCAGTAATAAATATTGTGAAGGATCACTATGGATGGTCGAATTTTATATACATGGGACATTCACTCGGCTCACTTATAGGTAACTAGTTTGATCAACTTCTTAATTAATTAATAAAAATATCATTTGTTGTAGTCGATAAATTATTGCTATAGACAAATAGTAGACTCGTGATTCGCAAACTAGCCTAGATGACCCCAGAGTAGGTTTGGCAACCGTAAAATAGAATATTGTATTCTATAACATTTTGGTGTACTCTATAATCTAGATCACTAATGGAGGATACATAAATAGCCTTTTTATTCGATGGTAATTTCAGGTAAAACCAGTTTTAAAGAATGCTTAAAAGATGCAGTATTCGAATATATTAAAAATTGGGCTTGTAATACCTCTTTATGAAAAAGGAGAACGGACTGATATAAATAATTATAAACCTATATGCATATTGCCAACAATATCCAAAATTTTGAAACGATATTGAAGGATAACGTTATTGAATTTTTTGAAAAAAAAAAGTTAATCCCTTCAGTACAATTCGATTTCCAGAGAAAAAATCAACTGAGATGCCAATAAGAAACGCGATATCTTATATATTGAAATCACTAGATAAAGCGGAAAAATGTGTCAGCATTTTGTGATCTCTCAAAGGTCTTCGATTGTTTGCGGCATGACGTTCTCCTACAAAAGCTGGATTATTACAATATTAAAGGGAAAGAACTAGATATGATGAGATCTTACCTTATGAGATCGGAAACAGAGAGTAGTGGCAAATGGAAGGACTTCAGATGCTAGTGATATCGATATTGGTGTTCCACAGGGTTCTATTTTAGATCCTGTCTTATTTTTGAGATATATCAATGACCTAACTTTCTGTCTACCGGATTGGGCGCTAGTGACCCTTTTCGCAGATGATACTAACGTAAGCGTACAAGAAACTGACTCAAGTGCATTGAATAATAAATCAAAGATTTGTGCTTACTGAGGGAATGGTTTCAAGCATTAAACACTGATAAAAGTGTTGTACTGAAACATCAAAGAAAAGTATCTAAAATATAGGTAAATAAAACTATCTATTCATTCAAAAGTGAGCATGGGTTTTTGGGTTACACAATTGTCTGTTCCATAACTCATATACCGCACATAGAAAACTTTGTAAAAAGTCAGAAAGTGCAAACTATGCACTCTTAAAATTAAAATCACTTGTCGATCACATTGATGGTGTAATAAGCTTACGAGTAGTCCATGATAAATAGTATTACCATTTGGGGAAATAGAACAAACGTCAGACGGGTCTTTATTGCGCAAAAAAGAGCTGTAAGAATTTTATTTGGTGTTAGGAAAAGAGTTAGCAAGAGTCCACTTTGTAAGAAATAAAATGATGACAGTAATATCCCTATATATTTACAAAAACGTGTTGAATATTTATGACAACGAAGACAAATATCTTAAAAAGAGTGGTATTCATACATACGACTTAAGGAATAAGGATAAATTAGCTTTACCTAGTTTCGTTTGAATAAAGCACAAAAGCAAGGTGAATATAATAAATTAGTCATGTTCAATAAAATACCAGCAACTTTAATGAAATTAAACAGAAATGATTTCAGAAGAAAGCTCAAAATTTCCTTTGTCGTTAACGCTTTTTTTCATTATATGAAGACATGAAGTTGTCTTTTAAGGAATCCTCATTTTAACCTGCTTATCTGAGTTTCTAATTTTGATTGAAATTGTCAGGTTTTGTGTATGTAATTGGAAAACCAGAAGGACATTTTCTATGTAAATTTATTCACAGTATAGTTATATTGACAAAATTTTTAAATGGCTTTGTTTGTTTTGACTTGTAGTTATTTAAATTGTTTGAAATATTTTTATTTTTACATATTTATCGAATTTATGTACAACAAAGACTTGTCAAGTGTGACGTACTCTGTTACGAGGTCAATAAGTGATTTGATTTGATTTGGTACTATTACCTATTTGGTAATCGAGAAAGAAAAACAAATTTTGAATGTTATATAAATGATACTCTTTTTATAAGTCCTAACTCTATTAAACCTTCAAAAAATCCTCCTTGATACTTTCTAGAGGTGCACTGATATGTTCTCAAAATTTTACTAATTTTCGTGGACCCCCTGCTTGACCAACCATATTTTCAAAACTATTTTGCGATACCAAATTGAGGAAAGGCGTTACACATTTTCGCATAATATTCGCAGGTAAGATTTATAACATAGTGTATCCTGGGGTGATATCGCGTGTGGTGGAACTCGACCCAGTTCCAGCCCATCATACCTGGGCTACCACTAGGGAGGACTTCAGGAAATGGTACCACGCCTACTATGGATCGTATGAGCCGCACAGATACCACAAGTTCTATGGTGGGCCTGAGACCGCGCCAAAGTACACGTACGAAAAGGTAAAGTTCCTATTCTTATGAACCTTCACATTTATGATATTATTAGAATTCATTAAACGTATTTATCTTATTCAGTATCACCACTAGCCTTTTAATGTCTCCTCTGCAGGGGCTTAAATCTTTCTAATGGGTGGTTAAGGAGCTACTTATTAACGACAGCAAATGCAGCTGCGACCAACGGCTTAACGTGCCTTCCGCAGCAACAACGATCGTGGGCCGCGGCGATTGACCACTACGCCAACGAGCTTCTCGGATTTTAATAGTTTATTCATCTAGACTTAGGCATAGCATATCAAACAATTTGGAAGTGGCGTAATTATACTCTCTGATGCTTGTAGCAAAATCATTGGCGAGGCCCCAAGAAAAATCTTCATATTAAAATTTATTTGATAAATCACCGAGATATTCGACTAATAGGAATTATGTTTCCATTTTAGTTAAATATCTAATTTTCAAAAGCATAGATATTACATTACAACCCAAGTAGCACAGAAGGAATTATAATTATCCATACGTGGACCTCATTATGGCAATAGGCATTAAAAAAGATTTATAGAGGTTTCCCCAACATCCTAAAGCCGTAAAATTGAATTCATTTTAACTTCGTATGCTAAAGGCTGCGTAAATAATGGAGAAAACAAATGCCTTTTTAATGCATTTAGTGTAATTCTGTCTGATTGTAATGCCATTTTACTGCTTAAAGCATACTTTTATACCTAAGGTAACGTAAAAGAATTGTAAGAGTAGGCGCAAAATGCCAATGGTTCTACAACAGACACTCGTCATACCATTTTGATGCTGAATTTTAAAAGATGTAAGAATAACCATTTTAATGCTTAAAGTCGAATAAAGTCAGTGTATGGGACAGTAATGGATCAATTTTAATGCTGTTATTCAGCTTTAGGCTACTTTAAATTCCTTGAGTTCTATAAAAGAACTTAAAGAGAGGTAGAAAATGGCAAAGGTTCTGTAGAATGGATGGGTTACACCATTTTGATTCTGGCATTTTAAATGGGTGACTGTCATTCTTTTATAATTCTTAAGGCAATAAAAGAAGGCAATTTAGAGCGTCCTGAAGAGTAAAAGAATTTTAATAGAATTAATACGCCGTCGTATGCGTGTGTGGTTGAAAACAACAAAATGCTATCGTCTACGAAAAAAAGGTAAAATCTAAAAAGGAATTTTAAAGGTTCATTTCATAGCCAAAAGAATTGTAGTGGAACTATAACGTACTACAATTCTGCTTAAATACTCCGCCATTAAATCGTTCAAACCTAACCTAACACGATATTTCATGTAAATATTATAAGTAAACTATAGATGTAAGCTATTACTTATTGCTCAATTTACAATTCTAAAATATATATAAGTCTCCTAAATATAAAACTTTGGACATAACAACCAAACACATAAATATTAAATTTTTCATAGGCACTTTTTCTATATAATATTTAACTAAATACTCATCATATTCGAGGCGCATAAAAAAATTCAATAGAAATGTAAATGGACATTAACAGTAAACTTGCCTCCGCAAGACTATTTCACGTATTAACCATCTAACACCCAATACAATATTAACAAATTTAATAATACTTCCAGTTAATGGCGTCGCACCTCTGTTTTATCACAGTCACTGCTGCTGCACATCACACAAATGTTTTGAATGTAAAAAAAATATGAACTTTATAAAATACACCGCATATACGATACTATTGCGCTTTAAGAATTGTATTGGGTAGAAGTTGGACTTTTTTAGGGGCTAAAGAATGCTAAAATTCCATTACGGTGCCTTTTTAGTACTACTATACGGCTATAATCGTCACTGTGTACCTTATTGATTCCATTGCAATGCTATTTTAATGCCTTTTGGCACCCGCGTAAGCCTAAGGCACTAAGATTTGTGCCCAAATCAGCATTGTAATGGAATTTTAAGCGCTTAAAATTCTTTTTTATGGCAAGTTTATGCTGCTTAAAGCATCTGAAAATGCCATTATTCACCCTTTATTCAGCTTTTTGTGCTACTTGGGAATAAAATAAATAGTTTCACATTTCTAAGGGCACTTTGGAAACATATGTACATACAAAATTTTATACATGTATATTTAATAAATTTTGGATGAAAAAAGTCCAAGTTACGCTTCACGTTCATATTTTATCTTTAAAAGCCCAGCAGTAATTTCACAATTTTTTACAGGCTCAGGAAATGATGATGAAGACCAGATCTATGACAAAGGAAGCTACAGTTAACGTTTTAGAAAGATGTCTACAGCCTGTCGAAAATGGCCTTTACAGGTATTAACTTTTCGGATTTCTTTAATTGTAGGGACCGGAAGGATAGTATGGTCCTACCTAGATATAGCAACTGGTTAGGGAGACTAAAGGAATAATGTCTCCTAACGCACTGGGTGCTTATACCCTTGGGACTTCGGACTTACCAATGTAGGTCGAAAGTTGTATATATAAGAAGACGCGGCAAATTTTAGTAAGCGCGATGCAGGTTATTCGGCGCCATCTCGTGACAGTTCGATGTCTGTAGATGCTTTAGTCTTGCAGTTGATTGTTATGCCGATATTAGCGTGGTGAGATAGATGTCGCCACATAAGAACAAGTCATAATCAACGACTTTGTTAATAAAAATTATAGCAATCACTGTACACTGTCTGGGGAGGTTTTTTCTGAAGTACCCGGGAATCCTCCTGGCCGCGTGAAAGAAGAATAACCTACCTTGGTCCCAACAGAATGGTGTCCCTGGGAACTTCTTACCATTACCGCGGCCCGCATATGAATTCTGTTAATGTTTAGGTAATAATCGCATCTCAATAGAATCTCAACTACTTTGCTATTGCACTATCTACCTCTACGTGAAGTCCAATATTATTATATACCTGTTACCATTGATGTGTGAGGAAGACATAGCACTAATAATAGTAGGAGATAGATAGCGATCGCACCCCTGGTCGCACATCTTGACATCTCATAATAAGCAATCTTTTATTATATCGTCTCAATTATGTTTATGATATGAAATTTAATAAATAAAATAAAAATTAAACGTCTTTCAGATTCACCTATGATCAGAGAATGAAAGAAGTGACAGTCCTACCTTTCTCCGGCGATCTTTTAAGACAGATCTACACTCCAGTGACTATACCAACTTTCGCAGTCATAGCACAAGAATTGATTGACGGAGGGGCATATGACGATGTTCCCTTCGTAACGAACTCTAGAAGCTGGCCGAACAAAAATTATACGTTTAAAATAGTACAAGGAAGTCACGATGTCCATATATATAACCCAGAATGTATGGCAGAGGATGTCGCTAAATTTTTGATGGAACATTATAAATCTAAATTATAGAAAGTGTAAAAAAAATAACAAATTTTTAAATAAATGAGGTCCCAATACTGTTCCTTGTAAGACCGCTTAAGAAGTTTATTCCCGATTAAGTTATTTTCAACCTTATTAGAATAACTTTAGCATTCAGATCCTTAAATCATAGAACACCAGGGGGAGATATACGTTATTACGTATTTAATGTTTTTTTTTTTTTTGAATAATTTTGGATTTTCTCGACAACATAGTGGTTAGCACATTCGGTTTAGTAACATTCATAAAGGCCGGTCATAGAATGGATGACCAACAATGTATTTTCTGATATTATCCTGAATTGAAAGGGTGAGTTTCTTTTCTATTGAGAAAATTTTATAAATTCACGTTTTAACTGTGACAGGACCTGTGGCAATATAATGTTGATTTGTTATAGTGGAATTTTCTTTCAATTATTTTACTAAAAATAAGGTATCAATCAAAATTTGAAAAAAATATTGTATTCACTAGCAATAAGGTTAAATACTGAAAATCAGTGCTTTGCTCTCCTAGTAAATACTCACTATGTTTTAGCACATTTGCATCGCTGCGGACACATATTGTGTTGTTTTATTTATGGAAAATTTTGTGGGTGCATGATGCAAATAAAGAATTTATCTATATCAAAATCATAAATAGTTTTAATTAATTAATACAAATTATAAAAGGCATATTTTTTACAATATTTATATAAAATTATATCACATAAATAATAAAGTTTAAGTCCCTTAAGATACACGACAATATTTTTCCAAATACCCAATGGATAACCTACTTATAATAGGATAAATTCATTGTAGCTTTTCCTATTCTAAGTTGGAAGATTAATCTGCTTAAGTGATGACATTTTCTCAAGTAATTACTTCTTTCGAAAATAGATATGACTTGTAGTAATAACTGCTATTAATTAGAATATATTTATTATTAGTTACTAGCTGTGCTCGTGACTTCGTCCGCGTGGAAAGTAGTCTGAGTTACCTCTTACTACATAAGCTATCTGCCAATGAAAGAGTCATCAAAATCGGTCCAGCCGTTTTACAAATTGACTGGAACAAACAGTTAGATAGGCAGACACAAAAAAATTATATATGTACCGTTTATACCTACATATGTAATTATTTAGCGGTGATTTTAATATTACAAACGGAGACTCCAATTATATTTATTTGTATAGATTAACGAAAACCATACATATATAAAACATTCCATCAATTACCACAAATATTTCACATTCAAGTAAAGAGTTCATCATCATAGATTATTGAAACACTGTGGCAATTATAAAAAGAGTTTTTTTTTTAAGAATATTTTTTTAGGACTGGAAAACTAGAAATGTGTATAGACAAAATTTTATTGAATTGTGTTTGTAAGATATTTAATTGTTTAAAATCGTGTACTATTCATACTAAAGAAAAATTATTAAGGGTTTTTATTTTCGTCATCGCTACTGCCATACACTTCATTCTAATTCTCATCTATAGGTTAAAAATGATTGCTCGAGTTATGACATTTTTTCAAGTAATTACTTAGCTCCATTATATATGATCTTTTTTACGAAAATCACATAACATACAAAGAGTTTATTAAATACTAAAATATGAAACAAACTGAGCAAAACTAGATTCTGGCGAAATCCACAAGGGCAACGCCTTTATTAAAAAGAAGAAGAAGAAGTGCACCCGCTATCCAAGGATGCATTAGGACCGTGACAGTACACAAAATGACAAAATGTCACGTTGCCAAACTTCAGTAGTGCGCGTAGTGTTAGTTTACTTTTTAAACTAAAATAACGTAGGTACAAAATATTTAAACGATGGTGTTAAAAGTTAAATTAAAAAGATCGGTACAACTAAAGTAAAGCCAATTTTAAACTAATGAAATCAAAAGATTTAATAAGAAAAACGCGTTTACAGCTTGAGTATAAGCAAAGTATATACAGATTTAAAAAGTTGATGACTATTTATTCTATGATAATTATTTTTTCGTCATTCCTATCAACGAGATACGGAAAAAGAGCTAAAGCTATTTTTAAATGATTAAAAAAGTTTTTATTCTATATTAAAAACATTTTAAGTATAACTGCCCGCACAATGCTGGTTTCAATTTTGGTTTTAAAATGGTTGCTTTTACACCATACATTATTACGTTTTAGAACGGCGTTTTTTTTAATTGTTGTAGTGTTACATTATAATACTACCACAAATAAATTTAAAAAAAAAAAGTGTCTCCTTATTAGAATCATACACCATGCAAATGACATTAGCCACAACGCTTGCTGAAACGTAACTAAAGTGAAACTCGGGCAATTGCCTTGCTTTCTTGTTGTCAATGTTATGAGCAGATAACCCATCTCAACTTTTTAATACATCATTGTCTTTAGGTACACCATAATTTTTCTCTTTGGGTACACCTCTTATCTTACATATTGTAGGAGTATATATCCAGGTAGCCGCAACGGTTAATCGCGTTTACAATTTGGAATTGAGAAACAAAGTCCTTCCACCATTATCATTTAACAATTTCATTATAACATTATCTAAAATAGCACAGTCTTCAATCGGTTGTAACTTTACAATTAAATTCTTGAACGCAGCCATTTTGCCAGAGGCAAAACCATAGACTAGCAAGTCTTCTAGTACTAAGGCCTTTTTTAAATCACACGTCGTTTGAGACACGTTATTTGTTGATTCACATCTTGATTTTTTCAACGATTCACATCTGAAAAAGAAATGAAATTATATTATAATTGTTATAGAGAACGATCTTCACAAATCTTTTCATACACATTATAGGGTATGGGACAGACAAACTTGAAATATATATATATATATACACTGCAAAAATAAGGTAATATAAAATCCGGCCACAATGAGTGTAATGTGGTAGAGGAAGGGTGCCATACGAAGTCTTAGCCCCGGCTAAACTAAACTCGTCACTCCGATCAATAATCCGAAGAATACTTTACTTAGGATTTTCACCTAAAATATTGATTTCTTTAACAAATAATTCTCCAATGACCTCTGTTTGAATTTCCAACTCCACTTCTCGATCCAGGCGTCGAAATCCGTGAAGATCTCTTGCAGGTCGCCCGTGAAAGTAGATTCTGAAATTTAAGAAATGGTATAGGTAACTAGATATAAAGAAAACAGAGGTCTATTAAAATGCAAAGTTAAATCGTAGTTAAAAATCATAAGTTGATTTTAAAATAATTAGAAACAATTGTTTGAATGTGGATTACAAAATAACGAAGGAGAAATATATACTATGTACAACTCATTCGAATTCACGAGACCCGGTCCATTATGTTTGTCTTCGAACGAAAATATGGAAAATTTCAAATCATTCTTTTATATATATATACTATATAGATATATATATATATATATATATATATATTATATATATATATATATATATATATAATAATATATTTATATATATATAATACCATGTTTTTATCGAAAATTTGAGTCTTATTAGCATTTTGAAAATAGAACAACTTCGTTTTAAAAAAATCGTTATTTTTTTCAAAATTTTCGAAAGATTTTTAGGGTTCCACAATATAGAGCTAGGAATAAACATTGTTACATATTATTTATAAATATAATATACCTACTAATATTATGTAAGTAAACGTTTGAATAACTGCGCATAAAGATAATATTGAAAAACAGCTGTTGTACATTGACATATAAAAACATGGACAAAGAAAGCGAAGAGTATTATTTTTAATCTAGTATACGATAACACATTATCGTGTGTTGGCTGATAACATATTGTTTATTACTTAGGAGGTCGGTAATCAAAATAATTACTTAGTATAATAGAAACAGTGTATAAATCTATGAAGAAATACGAGAAATATTCTTTTTAGGGTTGTGTACTTAATGGGTACTAAAACTGTTCTGTCTGTCCGTCGGTCGCCAGGTCGTATCTCAAGAACCATGATAGTTGAAATCCACACAGATAATGTATTTCTGTTGCTACTATAACAACAAAGATTAATATTAAAGAGGGCTCCCATACAACAAACGTGATTTTTTGCTGTCACCAGGCTATACAGAAACTGTGATAGAATCAGTGACTTGTTAGGACTTTATTTCGTTTCCGGTGATAATTCGCCTTCCATTCAAACCCCCAAAACCTTGCTTATTGTCCTTTTCAAAGGTATAGCGAATGTGACAGCAATTTATGTTATATAGCGTTCAAAGAATCAAATGATCAACCATTATATTTGATCAGTTTTACATTCACAATGCTATACTGTAAAATATTCATAATGAACAGCGCTTAAAAATCCACTACAGCCCCAGGTACTCTGAGATGGGGCTAGAACCCGCGACCTTTGGCAATCCGAATGACCGCCCAAAACCACTGAGCTACCATTCCCTAACAGGACTCACGAATTTTTCGATCACTTGTTTCTTTTCGCTACACTTACTACACGCTCTTTTCGATAGAGCCGGGACCTAACGTCTTAACATGCCTTCCGAAGCACGAAGGAGCTTGAGTTTACAATTTTTAGGTACCCATCCTATTACCGGCCCTTGCAAAAGTTATTTAACAATCGCATTAAACGGCTTTAATAATATAATTTAATGGGTGATACTTAAAGTCATAAGAAGTAATAGCAACAATTAAACGATCAACAGTATACAACAAACATTATTCAACAGCAACAACAACAAACAACAAGTCCAAAATTCAAAATCTCAACAAGACATGTAGAAGCTATGTAATGTGAATAAATCAAACAAACAAATATCACTACACATATTATTTAGAGATGAGCCGTATACTTTCCCCTTTTTCGGTATTCGGCGTATTTGACATTTTATTCACTATTTGTATTCGGCCGAATAATTCGGCCATCAAAAATTTCATAAACTCAATGTTTGATATTGAGCATTATTATAAAAGAAAATAATAATATATAAGTTCACCACATAAACTTTTGATTGGATTAAATTTGTAGCAGGTTTGCTTGCTTGTATTTTTTTTTCTGTTCTTTCGCACCGATATGCGATGATCTTCAAAGAAAAGAAGTAAAAGACACAAAATGTCTATTTTTTTGTATTATTAAGTACTATAAATCGGTTGCATCCATTTACCTTAGACACGTAACGAAAAAGTCAAAATCGGACCCATAATCTTGTTTGTTTGGACATTGCAAACTTATTGCAGAATGAACCGACTCATTGTAAAACTAAAACTTGAAAAATTCATTATTCAAGTTTCAAATTTTAAAATAAATGTCCATTGCCAATGACAGACAGTGCATCGATTACGCATAATGAGAAAATTTAAATACTATTTTTAATAGCTACAGAACAGGTTTTGTAGGTATTTTTTTAAATATATTTTATGATAAACCTGTTTTCCTTCGACTTTGCCCGCGTAAGCTTAAGTCAACCGCGTACGACGTAGGATCCGCTAAGCCGAAGAATCTTTAAAAAACAGTCCAATAGCTTCGGAGCCTATTCAATGCAAATGTACAGATAAATCTTCCCTACTTATAATATGAGTATAGATAATCTATTTTATTTTAAATAATTTAATACTACAAGCAAGACGAATGTTTTCCGCATTGGCATTGTCGGTATTTAAACTCACGACCTTTACTCAAGGTGGTAAACTATATTTACATCGTTCAGACTCTGCTTTCATGACATTGGAATATCAATTAAAATATATACTCTCATACAAAACCACGTATTTTCAATAAACCATTATAGGTACCCAATTACCCATAATAAGAAAGTGCTTAAGACATAGATTTGACTACCCAAGTAGCAAAACTAACAGAACGACTCATAGTCGGGGCCCCT